GACCAGAATCGAACCCGGGATCCTTCAGTCCATAGGCCAACGCTTTATCCACTGAGCCAAACCTGCCAGGGCTATGTGATAGTTTTATTATACCAAATGCAATGCCTTTTATGCCTTCTTCACAGCAGGGAGGCTCTGTGCAAGTGAAAAAAATAAAACTAAGTAACCTAGAATGCTCAAGTTGACTGATGCATGCATTTTCTGCCCTATAAGAGAGTATACATGAAACAAAATTAATATCAAACAATTGCTTGGTGTATACTCATTCTTTCATTTGGCAAAATATTACTGAGTGCTTATTCTATTCCAGAACAGTGCAAGGGGCTGAGGACCATATAGTGATCTAAGGGGAGAGAGACTTTAATAATTAAGATGTTATTCCATAATACGACATGAGAAATAAAGGAATTCAGGTGTTTTATGAACTCTACAATTAGGTACTTCACCTAGACCTGAGATTAAGACTCAAAAACTTCTAAGTAATGCCCTGGTCAGTATGGCTCAGTTGGTTGGTTGTCATCCCATGCATCGAAAAGTTGCTGGTTCCTTCCACTCCTAGTCAGGGCACATGCCCAGATTGCAGGTTCAATCCCCGGTAGGGGGCATGCCGGAGACAGCCAATCGATATTTCTCTCTCCCTCTCCCTGCCTCTCTCTCTAAAAATCAGTGAAAACATTTAAAAAGAAAATTTCCAAGTCTGCTACTTCTCTCACTCTCAGGAGTTAACCTTGTTTCTTCTACTTCAGAGGAAACAGAAACCATAAAGTGAGAACTTCCTCAACTTCCTACTAGCAAACCTACAAAACTGATCCAAAGTGATGGCTAAGTAGAGAAGAAAGTAGGAATGAATCAAGCAAGGGAATGAAGAAATTTCAGGCAAGAAGCAGCAGCCTGTGCAAGAACAAAGAGAGCTCAAACTATGTTCCAAATGGCAGGAACATAGCACAGAGGAACCTATGAAACTAGAGAAGTAAAGATACTATGTAAGTCTTCTCAGCAACATCAAGATTAGTCTTTATCCCTAGGGCAGTGGGAAGCCATTGGAGGGTTTTAAACAAAAGGATGATCTAACCCAGTGGTTCCCAAACTTATTTGGCCTACCGCCCCCTTTCCAGAAAAAATATTACTCAGCGCCTCGAAATTAATT